ACTGTATTAGGTAAGTTACCTCTTGTCTTGAGTAATTTAAATGCCCTTTAACTTTGACACTTGTGCATACCAGCCACAGAGTGTTCAATTTTTCTAGGAAGTTTAATTATAAATTTCTTCTTTTTTGTGTTTGTTCCAATTGCTGTGTAGTATCTTTTAAGATAATTTTCATGGAAGGTACTTATGGTTTGGTTTTTTTCAGTAACATATCATAGGGGAATGGGTACATTGCATTATATTCAAACATCAAAAACATTTGAAAATCAAATGCAAGAAAACTAATCCTTTTTAAATTTTACATCTTATATACATTGAAACTTCTTTGAGAAACAGCTTCTTTTTTGTGTTTGTTCCAATTGCTGTGTAGTATCTTTTAAGATAATTTTCATGGAAGGTACTTATGGTTTGGTTTTTTTCAGTAACATATCATAGGGGAATGGGTACATTGCATTATATTCAAACATCAAAAACATTTGAAAATCAAATGCAAGAAAACTAATCCTTTTTAAATTTTACATCTTATATACATTGAAACTTCTTTGAGAAACAGATAGGTGTTTCAGTAATTCTTACTGCCTCTTTCTTTCCAATAGGCAACTTGTTTCTGATGAACTTGCTTACAGCAATAATATACAATCAGTTTCGAGGATACCTTCTGGTGAGTAAAGCATTCCTAATATCTGTGTTCTAACATAACCTTAAAACTGTGAAGCCCTGAGTATCAAAATTTCAACTGTGTATTAAAGCAGTATGCCCATCCTGGTTGTAGATACAGTTTTAAGATACTAAAGGTTCTTTGATGTATTGGCAGTAACTTAAATGCACTTTAACTTTGACACTTTTGCATACCAGCCACAGAGTGTTTTATTTTTCTAGGAAGTTTAATTATAAATTTCTTCTTTTTTGTGTTTGTTCCAATTGCTGTGTAGTATCTTTTAAGATAATTTTCATGGAAGGTACTTATGGTTTGGTTTTTTTCAGTAACGTATCATAGGGGAATGGGTACATTGCATTATATTCAAACATCAAAAACATTTGAAAATCAAATGCAAGAAAACTAATCCTTTTTAAATTTTACATCTTATATACATTGAAACTTCTTTGAGAAACAGATAGGTGTTTCAGTAATTCTTACTGCCTCTTTCTTTCCAATAGGCAACTTGTTTCTGATGAACTTGCTTACAGCAATAATATACAATCAGTTTCGAGGATACCTTCTGGTGAGTAAAGCATTCCTAATTTCTATGTTCTACCATAACCTTAAAACTGTGAAGCCCTCAGTATCAAAATTTCAACTGTGTATTAAAGCAGTATGCCCATCCTGGTTGTAGATACAGTTTTAATATACTAAAGGTTCTTTGATGTATTGGGGAGACCAAATAGCAGCCTTCCAGTACCTGAAGAGGACCTACAGGAAGGCTGGGGAGAGCCTGTTTAGAAAGGCCTGCAGTGACAGGACAAGGGACAATGGCTTTAAACTGGAGGGGAGCAGATTTAGATCTGTGTTCTAACATAACCTTAAAACTGTGAAGCCCTGAGTATCAAAATTTCAACTGTGTATTAAAGCAGTATGCCCATCCTGGTTGTAGATACAGTTTTAAGATACTAAAGGTTCTTTGATGTACGACTGCGGGGAGGTCGGACTAGATGACCTTTGGAGGTCCCTTCTGGCCTGGACCATTCTATGATTCTATCTACTTTCCCCCTTATATGCTGTTGTAGCTTGATCCCCTTCCATGACAAAATTACCTGCTTATATCCTTCCATGTATGCTGGGGATCTGCAACATTGACTATAATAGGGGGAAAAAGAAAAATCAAACTATTATAAATTTAAACCAGGACAAGTGAAAAAGTAACTTAAACTCGGTCTCTGTGAAGAAAACCTGCTATACTATTTAAATAGCTGTTGTTGCAAGTCCTAGCACTTAATTTCTCTGAGTAGCACAACATTAGAAGCCTATAATGAAAACAAATCACTGACTAAAATATCTTTACGTTTGGTATTTTTTTATTTCACCCTTACCACGGTGGGTGGGTGTGATGTCAGCATGATTAGGGCAGTCTCCTGCCTCTAAAAGATGGACTTGAGCCTTGTGATTGACTTGTAGCAGAAGCAGTTGCCAGTTATACCTACTAGTTATTCTTGGTAGTATTCAGCCTCAAATAAAAGGAATTTGTGCTTTACTCTCCACGCAATGCCAGCCATCTGTGTAATGCTTTAATGTGCTTCTGCAATATGCCTGATCATATGTGGTTCTCTCCTTTTTGTGGAAGGTGAGTCTGGTGTGTAATGCAATGACCTCTTTTGACTTGGGTGTCTATATTAGAGAAATAAAAGCTGACAAATTAAGTGTACTTTTGCATGTTGTTCAAGGAGCCTGCAATCTGTGGCGATGATTAAACTAATCACTGAAAGTTCTTTTTCCTTTATTAACAAGCTGTGTGATGTGCTTTGTTACATTGTGTACACCAGTTGTTTAGTCTTCAACTGGGAGTGTAGTCTGGATTCCTTTAGCAGGAAATAGTGTAAGTTTCTTTTGTTTTCTGTGTGAGATAGTGCTGTTAAACAATCTGAGGGGAACTATAATGAGCTGAAGTGCGAGTATTTTAGAAAAAAGAGACAAAGTGAGTAAAACAAAAGATCATCTTGGTTACTTCCAATAAAATGTACTTTATAGAATCATAGAATGGTTAGAGTTGGAAGGGACCTTAAAGATCATCAGGTTCCAACCCCCCTGCCCTGGGCAGGGACACCTCCCACCAGACCAGGTTGCTCCAAGCCCCATCCAGCCTGGCCTTGAACCCCTCCAGGGATGGGGCAGCCACAACTTCCCTGGGCAACCTGTTCCAGTGTCTCACCATCCTCACAGCAAAGAATTTCTTTCTAGTATCTAGTCTAAATCTCCCCTCTTTCAGTTTAAAACCATTACCCCTAGTCGTATCATTCCACTCCCTGGTAGAGTCTCTCCCCATCTCTCCTGTAGGGCCCCTTCAGGTACTGGAAAGCTGCTATAAGGTCTCCCTGGAGCCTTCCCTTCTCCAGGCTGAACAACCCCAACTCTCTCAGCCTGTCTTCATAGGAGAGATGCTCCATCCCTCTGATTGTCTTTGTGGCCCTCCTCTGGACCCATTCCAACAGATCCATGTCTTTTCTATGTTGAGGACTCCAGAGCTGGACACAGGTGGGGGTCTTGTGAGAGCAGAGCAGAGCAGAGGGGCAGAATCACCTCCCATGACCTGCTGGCCACGCTTCTTTTGATGCAGCCCAGGATGTGGTTGGCTTTCTGTGCTGCTAGTTTGCATTGCCGGCTCATGTTGAGCTTCTCATCCACCAACACCCCCAAGTCCTTCTCCTTGGGGCTGCTCTCCAGCCATTCTCTGCCCAGCCTGTATTTGTGCCTGGAATTACTTCATCCAAGAGGTAAAATTTGTGACTTTCAGAAAAGAAGTAAGTGGCTGGATAGGTGGTAGAAGGAAGAGGCTGCATGGATGCAGTTGGACATCTCCAGAACTGGGTTTATCTCCAGCAATGAATACAGAAATCCAAGGTACACCACAGCCACTTAGCAATAACAGACATATAGATGAGTAGAAATAACACAGTGCTAGGGTAGGTATTAATGGTCATCACACTGAGGGCAGACAACTAAATCTTGGTCAGGCAGTCACCAGTCAAAAGGGAGCTGTCAGTATCTTGTTCCTCAGAACAGGCTGAGTCTTGGTCTTGCTGAGGTGCCATCTTCAAACTGCTTGACATTTTAATTTGAGCTTTGTAACTCCCATGGTGCAATTTTTATCATGAGTTAATTCTTCAGCAGTTTCACTTCCGCAGGCATTTTTTTACTTTGGCATATTTTTATAAAACTTCACAGGTCAACAGTAATGTTTTTGGTAAAGCTGACTCAGGGTAGTGCTATGCAACAGCACTGGAGTCTGACAGCTAAGCCTCTGGGCTGTACACTAAGCGTTTTTCCTGTTGTTTTCAGTATGGTGATGATTTCTGTAGCTTGGAATGAACAGAGGTTCCCATTTGTGTATGTTTCAACTGGGCTTTTCTCGTGCCTATAGTTTCCATCAGGTGTAGTGACAGGGGAAACTCGGTGTTTTTGATTGTTGGGTGTGATTTCCCCTTAATTACGTATGGTTTTTATAGTTCCTTCACTACTTAGTTCCCCCTTTTAAATATAGTCTTGTAGTTCCTTCCTCTTACTTACATAGTTTTATAGTTCATTCAGCCCTTCAGAGGAGTGAAGTTGAGGGCTTGGTCGTTAAAGTGAAATAATAGCTGCTCTAGTAGAGTTCCAGAGAGAAGACAGAGTTTGCTGGATAGTAAGCCTTAGGCAGTGCTACACAGAAGTAATGGCCCCCATTTTCTTGTGCAAGAGGGGTGTTTAAACCTAACATGTGCAAAGAGGGATTTTTGTAATCCTTTCCTGAATGGCCCCCACCTTCTTGTGCGAGAGGAGTGTTTAAACCTAACAAGTGCAAAGAGGGATTTTTGTAATCCTTTCCTCCTGCTCTTTCTTCCCTTTCTCAATTTTTCTCTTTCCCACGTGAGAGCGTGCCATAATCTGATTCCCAATAAAGTAGCTGAGTTTGAAAGTGATTACTGTGGAGAGAAAAAAAAAAAAAAGGGCATGAAAAACTGTGGCTCTGGCTTTCTTCTTTTTGGCAAGAAGCTGGAGTTGGTCAAGCTTCTAACTCTTCTCTTTGCACAGTAGTATGAATTTCTGTGAATACTCCAGCTTTGCTGTTGCCATTGTCTCCAGAACAGGCATGTGCCTGTTCAATACAGAATTGAAAATAAACCTTGAACTCCAGAGACTTGTTTGTTTGCTTCCTTCCTTCTCGTACACTGAGTTCTTGAAGGGAGTGAGGCTTAGGGAAGTCTCCTATTCTGATCTCTAATCACAAATCTGGGGTGTGCGCCAGAGGATCAGGATATTATCTGACCATAGGACGTAGTACCGCGTGAGGAGGTGGTAGCCCTGATCTTCTCCAAGCCCTCCTGGTAGGAATGGGCTTCACTGATTTCAGCCTGTGACTCTTCATGGTGCTCCTTTTAGACTGCAGAGTGTCTGTCCAGTTAAGCCCAGTGGACAGCTAGATCTAGTGGCTAATGATGAGGATTTTGCTGTTGAAAGAAAGAAAAAAGTATCATGCTTTCCTGGAAAATTATTTGAGTTGCACAGATATGCCTATTTCTGAGGCTTGCAGTAGGTTGTCTAAAGGCTGAGCAAATAATTTACGGTCTTACTTGTATCATCTAGTTGGATTTCTTTTAAACTAGTCTCAGTAAATTGTTTCCTCTGTGGTGTTTTTACTGTCCAGAAATCGGTTCAGTCCTCCCTCTTCAGGAGGCGATTGGGAATCCGGGCTGCGTTTGAAGTGCTTTCTTCCCTGAAAGAAGCTCCTACTAATGCACAACAGTAAGTGAAGAGTGTTGAAACAGTAGGTTACCTAGGAGCAAAGAGCAGATTTTTGGCCATCTTGTCTTGCTTAATATATTTACTTCTTGAAAAATGGCAGTTTGTTGCTCTTTTTTTTTTTTTTTTTTTTTAACTGGATGTTTATAACAAACTGTTAGGGACTCTTATGGGGTCAGTTTCCTTTTTATTTCTCTTCTCATTTTATCTGCTTTTCAAAAAAAGAAAGAGGCAGGAATGCGTTTGGAACAGCTATTTTTGCCATCAAGCCACTTACCTGTTTCAGGGCCTATCCTGTTTTCTTTTAAATAGGTCGTACGTCAGCGTTGGTGCCTTACAACAAGTGCTACAGAAAGTTGAGATGGATTCTCGCTGCAAGCAAGCCATCATGACAGTAAGAAATGGATTTTCTTAGTCTTTATGTTGGTGATTATCAAACCCTCTGATGGGACAGCTGTGGAAACTGCCCTTTCCTTAATCGCACCATTGATCTAGGAGTAGTAGGTTTCAGCTTTGCTTTCTTTATTTGTGAGCAGAGGCCCAGCTCTGTATCTGTTTGTTTTACTCTTCAGAACAAAACCAGTTTCTAGGCAGGGATTTCACCTTAAGATTGCTACTTTGGTTGGTGTGATGAGGAATGCATTCACCTGTAGAGAAGTGCAGAGTAATTGAAACTCTTGTTTTGCAGAGGTAATGTTTTCTTTTGCTTTACTTTCTCTCTGGGAGTAAAGCATTTCTCACTGTGGTCTAGAGCTGCTATCTATAGCGACTTCCCTCTACCGTTTGAAAATGTCTTTTTTTTTTTTTTTTTTTTTTTTTTTTTTTTTTTTTTTTTTTTTTTTTTTTTTTTTTTTTTTTTTTTTTTTTTTTTTTTTTTTTTTTTTTTTTCCATTGGATTTTAGCTGTGCTGCTCCCTCTAGGCATTAATTCTTGTATGAGGCTACAGGGAGAGTGGTTTTGCTTAACTAAAGCCTTAATGTTGCAGTTCATGCCGTGATTTTCAGAGATTAGAGGAATTATTTAGCTCTTATAAGACATGTGGAGATTATTGTTGTGGTTTCAGAAAAATTATGTAAAAGTAATGTTGCTTTTTGAGAAGAACATTGCAGCAGGATTTGGACGTCCATATTGTAAGGTCTTCTGCCAAAAGGAAGTGACAATTCAGAGCTGATGGTTATAGCATCAGCAGTTGGCTTGCTCCAATGTGAAGGTTGGAAGTGGAATGAAGAGGTATCCATGTATTGCTTCCAATCGTCGTTGTTTGGAATAGAGAATGTGTAAACAGAGTTGCCTGAATATAAACACCCTGCTCTGTAATTATGATGAGCTGTCTGTTGCATTGTTAGTTAAGTAAACAAATCCAACTTTTAGTTTTTCTTCTTGTTGCTGGTGGGTTTTTTTCTTATGTTGCTGTGTGCCCTACGGTTGCAGTTAGTGTTTAGCACGCTACGGAAGTGTCTTCATCCTGTCACAAATTGTGAAATAATTCCATCCTTTCAGGTAGTAACTTCTGCAGAACAGTGATAACTGACATATTATCATCATTCCTTGTATCATAACATAACAACGGCGATACAAGATGAGACTAAAATTTCAAGTGTGTCTAAAGAGGATGCTCCTTCTTAAGCAGTGTGTGATCCCAGAAAGGGGAGATTAAAAAAAGGGAGACAAATTCCACAGTTGTGGCAGTGTTATGTTAAAGTGAAGTAATATTGAACCTCGCTCTAATACTTTGGTGTGGATTTGTATTGTATCTCTATTCTTGTGACTCTTAAGATAGTCTGAGGGTGTTGGCATCTTTGAAGATGTGCCTATTGCAGATGTTGACCTGAATGTTTCTCTTTCATGTGAAGTCACTCAAAACGTGCTCCTTTGACCAGCTGTCAGCTCCCCAGTTTCAGAAGCTCTTTGAAGAACTAGACAAAGATGCCATTAAGCAAGTATGTATCTAATAATCATTTCTAAAATATCATAAAGTTGAGGCACAAAAATAGATGATAGTATTCTGCTTCAAAGTGTATAAACAAATCTCACAACATGTTGAACGTGTGATCAAGTGTCATTCATTGATTTTTAAGTAGTTCATGGATTGCTCTTACAGTCACAAAAGGCATCCCTTTGGGGGCTTTTACAGCACTACTTTGGGATTGCCAGGGAGTGTTAAATATGCAAATACCTGGTTGGTTGTTCTACCAGCATTTTTAAGTGACTTGGCCAGACAAAATGGATGAGGGCTCTGTGTGTGTATGTTGTTTAATGGGAAGATTCATTACAAGTAAATGAGGAATAGGAGTTAGAAAAAGGTTGGGTTATCTCCTTTCTTTGCCATTGTCTTGTATTGTGCAATAATCCCCAACACGCTTGCTAATCAGAAATTATCTCTTGCTGCTAATAGCCAGAGCTTGAAAACACCTTCCACTGAAATGTCAAAATTAGCATGTGGCCTTGAAAAGTTTTTCTTTGAAAAGGTCTATCTCTTAAATCTGAGACTGAGTGTTTTTTCTTGCATCATTATTAAAATGTTTATAAACTTTGTGTCTCAGCAAATCCCTTGTGTTCTTTTCAGCATCCTCCCAGTCCAGAGTACCAATCCCATTTTATGCAGAAAATGCAGTTTGCCTTTGGCCATCCCTACTTTGGCTACTTGGGGAATGTTGTAGCCCTTGCAAACATTGTTTCTATCTGTGTAAGTAAAAACATTTTTTTTGGTTTTGTGTGTGGTTTGCTTTTGTTTGGGTGTTTCCCACCCCTGCTACAAACTTTAGTTCTGTTTTTGTTTTTTGGTCTCTGTTCTGTTAACCACTTTGTGCAGCAGATGTCTGTGTTTGGCTTTAGTCACACAAAGTCTTAGAGAATACCTGCAGTTAAAAAAAAAAATACATGCTGGGAAAGCTTGGAAAGGTCTGTGCAAAGCATAAAAGACTGTTTTATTCTTGTGCCTGAAAATCTGTTCTGTTCAGCAGTAAAGCAGTGAATTCATAAAATATTTCTTGTTGTTTAAGGTGGTTTTGGTGTTGGATGCAGATAAGCAGCCTTCTGAAAGAGATGACTTCTTCCTGGGGGTAAGATCCAACAGTATTCCTACAGTTTCTGCTGTTCCCCAAGATGTCAGTAATTCTAATTATTATTATTTTTTGGGGGGGTGAAGGCTATCAACTGCTTCTTCATCCTGTACTACCTGCTGGAAATGTTGCTGAAAATCTTAGCAATGGGCTTGAAAAGATACTTGTCATACCCAAGCAATAGATTTGATGGACTTCTGACTGTAATTTTACTGGTAAGCTTTTTTTTTTTAAATTTCTGTATTCCTGGGTTTCTTGACAAGGATGATTGGGAACTGCAAGAACTAGTAGAACTGCTTTTTATTCAGCACTTGTATGCTGAGTTTTCAGTGGCTTGAGTGATTTTGTGTGTACATGATACTTCCAGTATCTGCTTTCTGGAGGTAGTTTTTTTTAAAAATTCATGGAAAAGGTGAGCTTTCTTATAAGCAACCTATTGAATTTTATTTGCAAATATTCAGCTCTTGGAGTCCTTACATAAGGAAGTCTGTTATATAGGTAAAAGTCACTTTGCTTATTGAATAAAAAAGACAGTGGCAGAAGTTGCCATTATTTGATAAAAGCCTGAAACTCATATGGCAGATGAGGCTAAATTCATGGCTAATGTAATTCTTTGTATATCCTTCTATGTGTCACTATTGGATTATGTGTGTATGTTGGAGTATTTGGGGAATACTTAGTCAAATATGACAATTACAGAGCTTTTTCAGTCAAATTAGCAGTTTAAAGCTGTTTCCTGTCAAGAAACTTAAATAATTTTTTTTCCTTTTTTTTTCCTTTTTTTCTCCCCTAACTAAAGGTTTTGGAGATTGCAACTTTTGCTGAGTACGGATTTCCTCATCCTGGTTGGTATGTAATCTCTGTGAACTCTTGCACTTTGCTCGGTATCTGGGCTGGGTCAGGTTCATACATGTTCATACATGCTGATGTCCTTCACTATGATTGTCAGCCCAGTCCATAATTTACCAAACCTAGTAGAATTTCTTACTTTTTTAGTTACTAGAGGCCATACAATATGGATAAGTGAAAGAAAATGACTATATTTTTCCTAAAACTTAGAGTTTTGTTTAGCTATTCTTAGATAAATGCATTTTTATTACTTGTAATCTGATCTAAAATAAAATTTTAGCAGATCTACACTTACTAAAGATACAGGAAGGAATTTGGTCCAACATACACAACCAGCTACTAATCTAGTATGTTTTAGCATTGATTGTCCATAAACCCACATATATGAATTCCTAAACAGCTGGTGAAGCCTCTACAGCCCTGTGTGTAGATTGAAGTCTGAGTTTTGTGTTGTGCTGTAAAATCTAATAGAAACATTCCCATGGGGTTAAATTATTTATCTATACTGGAATAGCAAGCAGTTGTATTTTAGTTTCCTTAAGTTTAAAGCAGCTCTTGGATAACTAGCTTGATCTAGTTTCAGTATCAAACAAAAAAAATCATTGTTTTGTCTCTTAAAACTTGAAAGCTGCCACCACAACAGCGGAGGAAAGCAAAGGACTTCTGGAAGATTTCCTGAATCTTAATTTCAGGGGTGATTTATAACACATTCTAATACTTTGTTTACACAAGCTTATTCTTAAGATATTGGCTCTCCCTAAGTTTTCAGGATATTTGTTATGTTGCAAGTAAGAACTTATCTTAATTTACGCCGGTATCTATAAAGAGACACAATAGATTTTACTGCTAGAAATGCATTTATTTTTTAACAATTCTTGCCCTCCTGTTGCTCAAAAGCAAGGGTTGCCATAAGGATATTAATTGCTAACAATCTAATGGCATTAACAAATGATTTAGTTTATAATTGATTATATTTGGCTTTGATTTTTGCCCTTTGATTCTTGAATGTAGACGATCGTTTGTATTACAATAGTAGCTTGAAGCACCAGTAATACTTGTTAGATCTTTGTGTCGGTCACTGCAAACAGATTATAACCCGGATGAGTCATTCCAAATCCTGACTCTGCTTATGGTGCTGTTGGTAAATGCTTACTCTGTAGATGAAACATCTTCACCACAGGACTGAAACGTGACTATTATTCTAGAGTATGCATCCTGTGCAGTGCTCTTAAATAATTTATTTTCTTACTAGAGTTGAATATATTGGTGATGCAAATCATGATTTAGCATCTGAGTTACCAAGGAGTTTTTTTCATTAACATCTTTTGTCCCCAACCACCTGCCCACCTTTCCAGCAGAGAAGCATCCAACATGCCAATGTAAAAGTCAGCTAAAACTCAGGCTGTCATTTGAAGTATATGGGTATCATCCACTGAATACACATATAAGGTGTTTTTTCTTCCTGAATTTTTTTAATATGCCATGGATGTTAACCAAAAGTTGTGGGGAATTTACAGTTACCTGCAGCCCAGTAGATTTAACTGTGTCTTTCTTGGCATGGGCTGTTTCTCTGATTTGTTATTTTCTTCCATCTTTCCTAGGAGACCCGAGTTCATGGGCTTGTTATCCCTGTGGGATATGGTGCGGTTGGTGAACATGTTAATTGTGTTCAGGTTCCTGCGGATTATCCCTAATATGAAGGTGTTTATTTATCCCTCCACACTTTTAATTTAAAAAAGACAGTGGCAGAAGTTGCCATTATTTGATAAAAGCCTGAAACTCATATGGCAGATGAGGCCAAATTCATGGCTAATGTAATTCTTTGTATATCCTTCTATGTGTCACTATTGGATTATGTGTGTATGTTGGAGTATTTGGGGAATACTTAGTCAAATATGACAATTACAGAGCTTTTTCAGTCAAATTAGCAGTTTAAAGCTGTTTCCTGTCAAGAAACTTAAATAATTTTTTTTCCTTTTTTTTTTCCTTTTTTTCTCCCCTAACTAAAGGTTTTGGAGATTGCAACTTTTGCTGAGTACGGATTTCCTCATCCTGGTTGGTATGTAATCTCTGTGAACTCTTGCACTTTGCTCGGTATCTGGGCTGGGTCAGGTTCATACATGTTCATACATGCTTATGTCCTTCACTATGATTGTCAGCCCCGTCTATAATTTACCAAACCTAGTAGAATTTCTCACTCTTTTAGTTACTGGAGGCCGTACAATATGGATAAGTGAAAGAAAATGACTATATTTTTCCTAAAACTTAGAGTTTTGTTTAGCTATTCTGAGAGAAATGCATTTTTATTACTTGTAATCTGATCTAAAATAAAATTTTAGCAGATCTACACTTACTAAAGATACAGGAAGGAATTTGGTCCAACATACACAACCAGCTACTAATCTAGTATGTTTTAGCATTGATTGTCCATAAACCCACATATATGAATTCCTAAACAGCTGGTGAAGCCTCTACAGCCCTGTGTGTAGATTGAAGTCTGAGTTTTGTGTTGTGCTGTAAAATCTAATAGAAACATTCCCATGGGGTTAAATTATTTATCTATACTGGAATAGCAAGCAGTTGTATTTTAGTTTCCTGAAGTTCGAGCAGCTCTTGGATAACTAGCTTGATCTACTTTCAGTATCAAAAACAAACAAAAAAATCGTTGTTTTGTCTCTTAAAATTTGAAAGCTGCCACCACAACAGCAGATGAAAGCAAAGGACTTCTGGAAGATTTCCTGAATCTTACTTTCAGGGGTGATTTATAACACATTCTAATACTTTGTTTACACAAGCTTATTCTTAAGATATTGGCTCTCCCTAAGTTTTCAGGATATTTGTTATGTTGCAAGTAAGAACTTATCTTAATTTACGCCGGTATCTATAAAGAGACACAATAGATTTTACTGCTAGAAATGCATTTATTTTTTAACAATTCTTGCCCTCCTGTTGCTCAAAAGCAAGGGTTGCCATAAGGATATTAATTGCTAACAATCTAATGGCATTAACAAATGATTTAGTTTATAATTGATTATATTTGGCTTTGATTTTTGCCCTTTGATTCTTGAATGTAGACGATCGTTTGTATTACAATAGTAGCTTGAAGCACCAGTAATACTTGTTAGATCTTTGTGTCAGTCCCTGCAAACAGATTATAACCCGGATGAGTCATTCCAAATCCTGACTCTGCTTATGGTGCTGTTGGTAAATGCTTACTCTGTAGATGAAACATCTTCACCACAGGACTGAAATGTGACTATTATTCTAGAGTATGCATCCTGTGCAGTGCTCTTAAATAATTTATTTTCTTACTAGAGCTGAATATATTGGTGATGCAAATCATGATTTAGCATCTGAGTTACCAAGGAGTCTTTTTCATTAACATCTTTTGTCCCCAACCACCTGCCCACCTTTCCAGCAGAGAAGCATCCAACATGCCAATGTAAAAGTCAGCTAAAACTCAGGTTGTTATTTGAAGTATATGGGGCATCATCCACTGAATACATGTATAAGGTGATTTTTCTTCCTGAATTTTTTAATATGCCATGGATGTTAACCAAAAGTTGTGGGGAATTTACAGTTACCTGCAGCCCAGTAGATTTAACTGTGTCTTTCTTGGCATGGGCTGTTTCTCTGATTTGTTATTTTCTTCCATCTTTCCTAGGAGACCCGAGTTCATGGGCTTGTTATCCCTGTGGGATATGGTGCGGTTGGTGAACATGTTAATTGTGTTCAGGTTCCTGCGGATTATCCCTAATATGAAGGTGTTTATTTATCCCTCCACACTTTTAATTTATTTTTTGGTCAAACTACAAATTTTGTTAAAGCTTTTTTGAATAACATGCAGCAGCTTGCAATTCTCTTGGACCTGAGTGGGATTATAACTCAGCTCTAACTGTCCCGACTATTGCCCAGCACCTCACAAACTCACTCTCTCTTTAGCTGGTTCTCTCTGTTGAGGTGACAGGGAAGTTGTGTTGACGTCGCTGTGATTGATGCTGGTATTCTGAAATGGAAAAACACATCCAGAAACATTTGTGCAACTTGCGTAGTGCTTCAATCTTAGTTGAGTGGATATGATATCCTTGAAGAACTTTGTACTCAGAAGGTGATAGACTTGCTTTGACTAGATACTGCTAGACATTTTGGTCATGCGAAGGACTATTTAGGACAAATCCCTTTTCCACTTTCCCAGTACATGTATTTCCACCAGAATACGTGTACTTGAATCTGAAATCACTTTGAGTTGTTTGATTGTTTATTATAATCCTGCACTTAGACTTGCTTGATAGCTAAGCCCAAATTAATGTCAGGTGTAGGACTCGTATCTTAGTTCAATAAACCATAAATATTTGATGTAATCAGAGGTCATAATGTCAGTGGAAAGTGTAGACTAAAAATTATGTGGATCAATATGAAGCAGTCACTCTGGGGCACTTGTAATACTTTTTCCAGTTCTAGTCTTACTACGCATGTAGCCCTTTAAGTGCCTGTGTATATTTAAAACTTATCATAATGTCTGTGTATGAAAAGGACCACAGCATTGTTCATTCATTTGAAGTACCTCATGGCAGTATCACTGTATAAAGGATGATCTGCCTTTAGATATATCTCACTTTCCTGGTTGGTATTTCTTTGTCCTTTTAGTAAAAATGGTGTGGATTGGAAGTGGGGTGAATGTCATGCATATAAAATTCTGCTTTGTTTTAGTTCATGGCTTTGGTTGTTACTACACTGCTGGATCTGGTGAAGAACTTGAGGGCCTTTGCAGGGATCCTTGTGGTAAGTCATGATGCAAGATTGTCATTTCCTTTCCTACAGTTAGCAGTATAGTAAGAGTATGTCTTCATAAAGTAAACCAGGTTCTTTGAATGACAGTCGCCGTTAGCAGTAACGCTTCAGCTCAGTCAGCCAGGTCTTCTCCAGGACAAGTCTGGCCAAACTGCAACAAACTGCTGGTTTTGTTATGGGCTGTGCACAGTGACAGTGCCTCATTTATCAGCTTCCTTCAGGAGTGCCTTCCAAATATTATTTAAAACTTCCTCAGAGTGCTTGCCTCAGACTGGATATTCTAGTTTCAAATAAAAATTCATCCGATGCTAAAAGCAGCCTGGTTTTCCTTACCCTGGCTTGCTTATGTTAAAGTAAATAGCAAAACAACTTTAAATTTTTTTTTCATTTGAGAAGGTCATAAGATGGCACTTCTGGTCATGATTTTTAAAAGCCTCTGCCATCCTGGATTAGGTGTGTCTGTGTAGAGCATGTACTCTGTAAACATGTCACTAAGGGATGGAACAAAATGCATGATGTCCATTACATAAATCCTGCATTACCCAACTCTTGAGTTTCTGGCTTTGCAACGATGCCTTCCTGGTGCAGCAAATGAGTGCCTGGGTGGCTTTTTTGTTGTTAGTTGTGTTTTTCTAGGATACCTGAAGTTGAAGTAATGGTTAGAGACCAAGGATTTGCTGTGTATTAGGTATTGTCTAAAAAGTTGTTCTAGTCTATATATTAAGCGTGCATTTTACCCAGAATACCTGTTTTTGTCATTAATAATCTCTGCTTTTATGTGTAGGGGAGGGGCCTTGGATTGCAGTCTGGAAAAGTTTATGTTGCAATTTGAAATAAAGATACTGTTTTGGGCAAAGCTGAGTTGGTACCAACTTTCATTATGCTGTGCAAGTCACACTTGCTACTGGAAGCTGCTCTTGAAACTGAGAAATTCCCTGGGAGCACATGAACTGCCCTTAATGCTGGGCATGTGAATTGTAGTTTTGCCCCAATTGTGAAGCAAGTCTGCCATGGTGTTTGCCACTTCCATTAATTAAATTTGCTTTTTCTTGAGGCTACGTGGAAGCCATCACTGAGCTTCTACCGTAGTGAAGTCTGACATCTTTCCTAATGTTAGCCTGGAACACGTGCTGATCAAGTAATGTAACTGATTAGCTAATTTCTCAGGCAGTGTGTGTTTTAAATATATCTTTGTCAAAGAATAAAACTAACTTTATTATTGTCAAGCCAGATACCCCACCTTCTGGCAGGCTATGGAATCTCAGATTCATCTTACTACAGAGTGTTCAAAGTGCAGTGGCTCATAGGTCAGAGTGGTCTCTCTTCTCCTCCCAGACTTCCCTCTTGGGTTTGTTTTGTAGCAAAATGCAGGAATATGACTAATGACATTTTCATTTGACGACTCAGCTTGTTTCAAGCCATTCTAGGACAAATGACTCAGAGGAGTGAAGCTGTAGGTTATTTCTAGAACAATCTTTATAGGATAAAAATTGCAAGATCACCTAGGCAACTGCTGAAGACTGTGAAAGGTATCTCTTTAAAAAGAGGCTTGCATTTCTAACAAGCCAGAAGTTCCCAAATCCTTTGGGTATTGAAACTTTTAGACCAATATAGACTTTAGACCATTTTTAAAGAAGTTGATGATTACTTCAAAAATATTGACTTAGTATTGTCCTTCAGTTAAGTTTAGTAAAAGCTTATTTTCACCGAATGTGGCAGAAAGCTCCCCACATATTTAGATTATTCCTTGTAGAGAAAAGTACTATTTTAAGTCGCTATTCTGCAGTATTAATAGTTAAATATCAGCATTCTGAGACACAGAAAAATAAAGTGGATCATAAAGTCAAATGATTTAATGCATTTTTAGCAACTGGAAGTTAAATAAAATATTAAAAAGTAAGAGCAAACAGTTAAGTGATACAAACATGGGACTTTAGACCATTTTTAAAGAAGTTGATGATGTGATATAAAATATTGACTTAGTATTGTCCTTCAGTTAAGTTTAGTAAAAGCTTATTTTCACCGAATGTGGCAGAAAGCTCCCCACATATTTAGATTATTCCTTGTAGAGAAAAGTACTATTTTAAGTCGCTATTCTGCAGTATTAATAGTTAAATATCAGCATTCTGAGACACAGAAAAATAAAGTGGATCATAAAGTCAAATGATTTAATGCATTTTTAGCAACTGGAAGTTAAATAAAATATTAAAAAGTAAGAGCAAACAGTTAAGTGATACAAACATTGAGAACTGTATTCACTTTGATAGCTTCAGGCATTGTTCTTGACCCAATTCCTTCAGTTGTGGTACTAATATGAATTCCATGTTAATTGCCTTGTTATTTAATGACAGAAATATTTGAAACTAATACTTATATTCCTTCCAGGTGGTTTTCTATGCATTCTCATTTAATGACAGAAATATTCAAAGCTAATACTTGCTTATATTCCTTCCAGGTGGTTTTCTATGCATTTGCTATAACTGGCATAATGCTATTTGAAGGTGCTGTTGTTCCCATGGGAAATATCAGGTAACATTCTAAACATCATTACTCAGAATCTGTTTTTCAAAAGCATTTGCAACTCAGTACTTCTGTGTTGCTTGGTTGGGTTTTTTTTTCCCCTCTTATTCTTGGAACCACTCTTCTTTTAATTTTTAATCACACAAGCTTTTTTCATCTATTACTCCTGCTGCTTCATGCTGTATTGAAACTGCGGGAGTGCTTATTTGTAGCTTGCAATTTTGCCCTGCTGTACCTTAAACACTTTTTTTTTTAAATGTCTTATCTTGTTTTCTGCCCATATAGACAATTTTCTACAAGGCTCTCAGAAGACTCTTGTTTTTAATGTATAATATGTAGAAAGCTGTGCTCACATCAGCCTGTAATTCTCTTTTAGTACCATCAATACAACATACGATAACAGCACTCTGCAGTGTGGGACCTATGAACAGCTGGAATATTGGCCAAACAACTTTGATGACTTTGCTGTGAGTCTAATCACTGAAAATCTCTTCCTCTTCTGTCTCTTCCCTCATTTTCTGAGGCTTAAGTGTGTGATGTAGCCACTCAACTTCTGTTTTACTCATGTTATTTAGGCAGCAGTGGTGACCCTCTGGGACGTGATGGTGGTAAACAACTGGCAAGTCTTCTTGGAAGCGTTTTCAAGATATTCAACTCCGTAAGTAGCAGTTATAATACTGAAAAAGTCCCATATAAATCTAGCTTATAAGGTAACTAAACAAGGATTATACACACAGCACTATTATCTGGTAGGAGGAGTGCCATTCTACCTTTCTTTGGGGTCAGTTCAGTTATATAGGAAATAAATTTAATAATTCATGGCTGTTCTTTAACTTGTGTAAGTTGATGGTTGGTGTAGCACTTGGTGGATGCCATGAAGTCTGTGCTCCCATTGAGAAGGGATTGGAAAATGGCTTAGTAGTCATTTTGTTCCAAAAAAAGAGTGGAAGAGTTAATGAGGTTGCAGCATGTGTTGGGTGGGTGGCTCTTGCTGTAGAGCCAATCTTGCAGAAGTGAGATATTAGTGAATTGCTATGATTAAGTTTGGGCTGCTTCTGTATTTTCCCCATGGATAAACATTTTTTTTGTGGACTTAAAAATTTAGACTTATCTTTTATTAATTTATTTAGTTGATGGGAATGTTTGAAAGACGAACTGGATAGTCTCTGGTGTGAGCTGTTCGGGTGATCCTTGGCTGGTTAACCCACATGTAGTGAAGTTGTGGAATGCTCTTCTACAGGCTGCTGTGTGTGATAAAATTTTAACATGGTTTGGTGAAGGCTGGACAAGTAATGAAAGAAATTCATTGGGATCTGCAATGAATGGAAGCTACCTCTAGCTCAAGAAATCTCTAAACCGCAAATGGTTGGAGATTGGGAGAGCACTTTGGGGTAGCATCATAGGTATTTTACTGTGGTTTTGCACTCTTTCCTGTGCTTCCACTTCTGACCACTCTCAGAGGATACTAGTCTAGATGGATCTTTTGCTGTGATCTTTTGCTAGTAGTACAACTTCTGTCCCTTCAGAGTTTAATTTGGTATGTTAAGTGGGGGAAGCAAATCTATTTGGCTAACTTAATGAAAGGCTAAGATTTTTTATTTTTATTTGTTCCAGACCTTCTTTTACATTAAGACAATAGTAGTATTATCTTTCTAAGAAAACTGTGATTTCATGGCTCTGTTTAGTCATTTTGAGGCTGAGGTTATTTACTGTCTACTTTACTTATTGTCTGTTAATCTGATTTGCAGGTGGGCAAAAATCTATTTTGTAGCCTGGTGGTTGATCTCCTCTGTCATCTGGGTTAATCTCTTTGTAGCTTTACTTCTAGAGGTAAGGAAGTGTGTTTATTTCATATAAGATCCTGAAGACAGGTTCTGATTTGTGTGGGAAATGAAAAGAACCCCAACAACTTTTTGGGAAAAGTATGTTGGCTCTGTGTGTGTGTATTTAATCTGTTTTCTCGCCTGCTTTCCCCTGAGATGTTGAGGAAGCATTTTCTTATTCTTGGACAGTTATATATTTTATTTGCAACTTTGTCACAAACCTGGTTGCATTTCAATGGGTGTGTACATTTGTCATTATAGCTCACTCTCTGTAAGGATATTCTAAATATTATAAAATTGCTTGTCTCCTGTACATTAGCATTTAATTTCAGCATTAGTTATTCAAGCTGCAGGCTTTTTTTGCATTTTGATTTGTCAGCAAATGAAGTTAGCATTTAAAATTTACATTTCTATTTGGTTTGGTTGTCCTGTGTTCCTTCCTACCCCAATTTGAATTATTACCTGTGTTCAGCTCCACAGTAGAAGAATGAAACTCGTTACTTATTTTGAAGAGATAATCCTCTAGAGTTTCTTTAAAGAAGCTGTGGAAATGTAGGTGCCTAAGCAATGCCATGAACATGTAGTTCCGCTGGTTTCTAGTGAACGTGTACTTCTCTGCAAATACAAATACCTTTTGAATTTTTGATGGTGAAGGGAAAGTTCATCATAGCCATCTCCTCCAGGTTAATCATTGTAGACTTCTAAGTAATGGAAGAAACCAAGTACCTGTAGAGGGCACTTCACCCCATCTTAAAACCTATGAAAACTTCTTATGGAGATGCTCTTGTTGTTGACTGCATCAGAACTAAAATTTACCGCTTTGAACAGAATAGCAAAGTTTTAGACACAACCTTAGGTGTGAGTCTCATGAGGAGCCTCAGTCTTGCCTATGAGTATTTTAGATAAGACTTCCTGTACTAGCTGGAGTATAATCCTATGAAGCCTTCTACCTTCTTACCTCCTCAGGACTGTGGCCAAAGTTTGTTTTAAGAGCCAAACTGTAGCATTCTGGAGCAGGAGAACAGGATGACACTATTTTTTTTTCTTTTTTTTTTTTTTTTTTTTTGCAACTTCCTTTCAGCAGAGCCATGGCTCCATGTCTGACCATCGCTCTCTCTAATGAACATCAGTTTTCATCCTTTCTATTGAGTCAGCACTCAGCATCAGAGTCGAGATGCTCTTGTTGTTGACTGCATCAGAACTAAAATTTACCGCTTTGAACAGAATAGCAAAGTTTTAGACACAACCTTAGGTGTGAGTCTCATGAGGAGCCTCAGTCTTGCCTATGAGTATTTTAGATAAGACTTCCTGTACTAGCTGGAGTATAATCCTATGAAGCCTTCTACCTTCTTACCTCCTCAGGACTGTGGCCAAAGTTTGTTTTAAGAGCCAAACTGTAGCATTCTGGAGCAGGAGAACAGGATGACACTATTTTTTTTTCTTTTTTTTTTTTTTTTTTTTGCCTGGGTATTGATTTATTGGAGTAATTCAAAATGAATAAGGGAACACGACAAAACCACAAGCTGAGTTTAAGTCACAATGGCTGGACTAAGAGTGTGTTTGGGTTGGGTTTTTAAAGAGGAAAAAATTCAAAGCAGGTGAACTCCTGCGGGTAGTTCGCACAGTTCACACAGTTATCTTGGGGAGGCAGTCCTTGCCAGGAGTAGAAGGCAGCAGGCCTGTCTTCTGCTCTCCTGTTCTTTCAGTGTGTGATGAGAAAGTTATTTAATTCCTGAACAATCAGCTTGAATAAAGTAGTGACCAGCAGCCGATAAACATGATGATACCTAAATAAATCACCGCTCTACCACTCTGTTAAAAACAAACCTCTCCCCCCTCCTAAACCTTACCTCCAAATATATTGAGCTGATATAAGCTCTTTTTATGTCATTAGAAGCAGCCTTTAATTTCTTTCCTGTTCCTTTTACATTCCAGAACTTTATTCACAAGTGGGACCGTCGCTGCCATCGAGAGCCTCTGTCAGATATTGAATACCAGAGGACAGTCGAACTCATGTTCAGGTGAGCTGAATAAGGCTTGACAATCATTCTAGTTTGTTTCATCTCTTTTATAGAAAGGCTGCAAGAGGATACAAGGCTTGTCTTTTATTTCCTCCCTCTAAAGCAAACGGTTTCATCTGTTAATTGGAGAAATTAAATGAATGTTTAGTTAGGCCTGCTTTAAGCTGCTTTGCTAGCCTAACCTTTATATGCTTTCTGCCCATAGCATGATGGGAGAAGAGGTGTTGGGGGCCCAGTGGGAGGGGGACTGTGCTGAGGGGGAGAAGAAAAAGGAAGATGAGGAAAGTGATGCATGTTCTTGGCTTATTATGAAATTGTGGGTGGTGAGTTGATACTTGATGATCATACACAAGTGGAACTTCTGGTGCACATTGGATATTCAATAGTAGCGTTGGGAACGTGTTCTCATTTGGGAGTTTTTTTCAGGAAAACAAATCTACTGACCTTCAGTTGTATTGTACTGTGTGCAGGAAATTGCTTCCTTGCTTCTTATGGGAAAACAGCTGCTGGTTTCCATGACACATCTGTAAAGGATGGATCACTTGCAAGTAGATGCATCTTTAGGGAGCATCAACTTATTGTAACTTTAATTCCTTGTTTCATTCTTGAAACAAGCACATGTTACATCTCAGTATGTGCATTGCAAAAACAAACGCTGAGAAGTTCCCTTTGCTGCCCCTAACGACTCGTGCTTTTTCTTTGTAGAGATGTTTTGGAAGAACCTACAGAGGAAGAGTTGATGGAAAAACTGCACCAGCATCCACACCTGCAGTTATGTAGGTGACTGGTGGGAAGGACTGATTTATTTAGACCTCTGTTTTCTTGAGGTTGTCAGCTGGAAGAAACTGGATGGATTTTCTGTGAGGTGCTGTTAGGAGAGGGGCTTGTAGGACAGCATGTGAGGTTTTGCTTGGCAATTCTCTGCAGAAAGAGGGTTTTTTATTTTTGGTTCATATCTTTTTTTTGAAAAAGATTTGAATCCTGTTAATTTGACTTGATTTTTAAGTTGCAATTTTAGAGGAATATTGCAGCTGTTATTTTTATAAACTGTTGGTATCGGAATGTTTTATTTTCTTTTTTTAAGAAGGGAAAGTGTGTTAAAAATGACAGTGCACTTTAAACCTTGAACTTTGTAACCACTAAGCCACTAATTTTTTCAGCACAAGAAAATGGAACTGCCTTTTCTGGTAGGCGAGTGTGGCAAGGGCTGTGCCCTGCAATTCATGAATGGATTAGGCAGGACCAGAACAAAATCCTTAATCTTTTTGTAGTGAGAGTTGAAACACTATTTTTATTGAAATACAACACCAGCATATCTTACCAAATTTTTAGGCATTAATCATGTCAGAACACAATCAATTTCAACTTAATAACAGGGAGTGCCTGCTTCACACATCACACCTCCTCTCTTTCATTGTTTTTGATCTAGAGTTCGTGCTTGTTGCATCATGCTGGTAACTTTGAGAGCAGTTACAACTTTGAAAGGAGCAATTGCACTCGTGGTTTTCCATGTGGTAAAATTGAGCTCTCCTTTAGAGCAAGTATTCTCATGTTGCTTTTTAGTGAACCCCTTCCTTTTACTTTCTCCCAAGTCCTGTTCTTCACCGTATCATATTCCATGGAAAAGCTGAGGGGAATGAACTTTGGCCAGAATGTAGCACCATGATCACTGTGAGGCTCTCACTTAAAAGGAAGGGAGAAAAAAATAGTTGAATGGGATAATCAAAGTGCTTAGCAGTTCAAATTTTTGTTTGAGTCTGTGGGAACTGAAGGTGCTTGACCAGTATTGCAAGATCACATTCTTTTATGGCTTAATATCCACATGCTGTATACCACTAACTTTCACCTGGGTAATACTTTTTGCGTAAATAATTTTGTCAACAAATCTAAAGTGAAGAATTAGCAGTAAGCCATGTCCATGTGCTTTTCATTATTCCTTAGTGTTCCTCTAAAAAAGGTGGTTTTGTTTGAATCTTTGTCACATAACTAGCAAATCACTATGAAGAATAGAATCAATTCCCAAATCAGTTTTTCTGTGTAAAAATGAAACTACCCTTTGGGGTGCTGCCTTGTCATTGAGACACCAAAATGGACATTATTGTCATCATCTCTGTATTGATAAAGGCTTGGAGAAGGTAATTGACTATAAAATGCTGCTACTATTTAAGTTATTTGATCCTTTTTAGAGAACAAAACGTTTTTGAAAAGTGCCAAGTAGTCATCCTGTGTACTTTTCTTCCTCTTTTTTTTTTTTTTTGTCATTCATCTTTTCTTTCCTGCATAAGGGAAAGGCAGTATCTGGGATGATGATGCATTTCAGCTCAAAAGCGTATTTCTTCATTCTTGTCTTACTATTAAGAAGTTGTGTAGTGATTCTTGTCTATTTCTTTGTCTTCTGCTTATATTTTCCTTGTGCTCTGGAACAAAATATATGTTGTAACTTGTGTATGTGTATAACAAATCTGAGCTGAGCTCTGAGCCACTCCAGCAAACTTTCCTTACTTTTGTACTCTTGCCTCTTAAGCCATGATCCTGTCACTGTTTTGGCACTTCTCTACATTTCAGAAAAATCCACTCAGTAACTCACTTCCACTGGTTTCAGTGGCGTTACCGTGCTTGTTTTCAGTCATGCACTTAGAACACATATCAGGACAAGTAGATAAAGGCATCAGCCCACAGTTTTTTCTAAATTTGGGTTTGTTTTGTTCAGTATGGTTTTATGTCAGGATGGCTTCTGCTTCTTCAAGCATGATGTAATGACTGCTATGCATTTATTGGCACTTATTAACAGAGGTTCAATACTCTATTTTACCTTTTTACTTGAATATTTTTTCCACTTTTCTGAAAACTTGGAGAAGTAGCTTTGCCTTGCCAAGAAGGAAGTGACTTGTTCTTATCTGTCTATGAGTGTCATTTTATTTTTTTTGTCTCTGAAAGTTGTTTGGGGTCGTGTGTCTTTTTTAATTTTTTTTTTTTTGCCATTACATTCCACTACAATCTACCAAAGCAACACAAATTGGTGTGGGATTATCATAAACATCACAAATGTCGCCATTATGCAGTTTTTGCATCTGGAAAAATGTGGAGAAGGCTTTTGGAAGGGAATAGTCTTAGTCTTATTCTTGTTTCACATTTGTGTAATTGTCTAAAAATGTAACTAGGATTTAATGCAAAATTGTGGTACCTGATGTCACTTGTACTGGAAGATGTAAATGACCAGAACTCTTATGCAATAACTGTATAAATCAGGAACATGAATGTATGTAATTGGGTAAAATTTGAGGTTTGCATTATTAAAAAAAAAAACCCCGTCTCCTTCTTAAAATATGAAAATAATTGGGGTGTTGAAATAAGTCTTGTGGTTTGTTTTCTCCCTTCCCCCTGTGACCTATTTCTGTTGTGCTCGGCATCTATGCTCCTGTCATCTTTACTAGTTAAGGCTGGGCCCATGGAAGAGGTTGTATGCAGGTGGAACATAACTGCCTGGTTTCAAGATGCAGAATGTATGTTGTGATGTTATTTTCCAGTTCTAGAGGCACATAACATCATCTGTAGGTACTGGATACGCTTAATTATTAAGGTGAAACTTCATTGGAACTGAGCATTGAGAGTGTTGAGCAGCTTGATTTCCATTTGCATTGCAGTCTTTGCGTCTGCAAACTAGATATTTCTTCGTCTCTTTTTTTCCTGAAAATATTGGTGCAATAAGCACTCTTGTAGCTTTTCAACTGGGACGGATTTCACACATAATGTAGTGTCTGTGGCATTATTTTGGAATAGGTTTTTGTTTAGAAGATTATTTTTTTTAAGAACAGAAAAATATCAATTCTGGATCAAGCTAAAGGCTTAAGTTTGATGTCTCTGGCTGTTGCAGATGCTCAGTATTTTGGATGTAGCCTAGATTTCAACAAAGAGGGTTGCTATTTGTCAGAGATGCTTCCTAACTCTGAGCACTGGAATCTGGGAGGTCGCAGATTGGTCCTCTTCACTTTGGTGCCCTTTGAGGAAGGGTTTGACAGTCACCTGCTATAGCTTTTGTCTGGATGTTTGTGAACCTGCCCCTGCTTGGTGATGCCTCAGCTGGTCCCTGACATCCTGTCCCACCCACCTCTCTGTGGTTTCACTGGAAAGAGTTCCCATGGCTGTAACAAACCTAGCTTTTGTTGTTACAGCATGTGCTGGTGGTTCTAGCTAATGGCTTACAAATGTTTACAGCATGCAAGTATTTTACAAGTAGGGAGAGCAAAAAAAACCCACGCTCCTTCAGCTTCTCATCATAAACAGGAAGATGAGGTTTAGCTGAGTGTGCTCTGTTGCTAATTCTTGACAAGTGTCCCCCTGGTCCTTGTACTAACTCCCCATAGTTCTTCATGCAGTTCTCTCTGCTGGCTTCCCTCTAAACTCATTTCTGTATCTCTTACCTTTGACACCTATGACACTTTAGCTCTTCTATCAAACTTGGTTTCATGAATTAATTAGAAGTTATTACCAGGGGACTGATTCTAGAATTCCTAGAAGCAGCTAGAAAATATCACAAAAAGGTAACACTTCGTTGGGGACTACATTAGCTGAAATTGGTCTGATGTTTCACTGGATCCAAATCAGTTTAGGATCCAAAGCCTTTTAATGAGAATTGAGTGCTTGGACTCTGAAGAGGAGAAAAAGAGATGGTCCAGAGACTAAATCATGCTCAGCATCATTAGTCAGTTTGTAGAAGTGTGGGCTAATGTATTTGGGAACTGTGAACTGGGCTTTTCTGCACCCACCAGCAATACCATCACTTTTCTTGCAGATAAAACAGATCACCAAGTATCTAAATGAAGAAGTTAAAGTTATGGGAAATGTGTTGCTAATTCAATAGTAAACACCAAATCCACAGACTTCCTTAATCATAAACTTCATATTTCATTCTGTACTTCAATCTTTTTTTTTTGTATTTGTAGAGCTACTATTTTCCCAGAATAAAGTGAGATAAAATGTTCAGGAGAAATACTCAAGGCTGAGAGATGGCATTCTTCAAATACGAAGTGCATAGTGATGTGGAGGAGTCACCTATCATTATCTCCCATAAAGAACATAAGAAGAAATTCAAGACTGTGTATAAAACAGAGTCACAAGGCATAAGAAGTATGTGTGTTTTTCAGAAGTGTCTTAATTAACTAAAATGGTTGCAATTCTGGAGGAAAAGCTGTGATATAGTTACTGCCATCATATATACACTTGTTTGCCGAAGGCAGCAAAATGATTTATTTTTTTATCATAAATTACCCATGTTACCAACTATAAGGAAAAACTTAAATGTCTTCTCTGATTTACAATTCCAGCCATTTATGTAGTTTACTTGCATTAGTTTTCAGATCTAGTCCTATACTTCAAGTTTTTTTACAGTAATTGTATAAAAATGGCTTAATGATGCTGATTTTTATATTTTTTTTTTTACTTCAAACTGTAAGTTGAAGACAATTGCAGCTTGTCCTTTTCTTTAATGCTAGATATTCCTTCTAACAGTCTCAGTCATCTTTTTTCCATTAAGCCTGTTGAGCAGGTGTTGTCTTTGTTCTGTGCAGATACTTTCATGGCCCCCATCATTGCATTATTTGAGCGCCTCCCAAGTACTTTCTTGAAAACATCCTGCTGGGATAGGAAAATATTGCTATCCTTATTCTGTAGATGATCAGCTGAGATATTTGGTGATCTGCCCACAGCCGAGCCTAAAATCCGTGGGAGAGTTAAGAATAAAACCTGCAGTCCCTGCTCTCTGCCTTTGCTAACAGACAATACTGCTTTCTTTTTTTGCAACAGCTGTGAACTTCGGTTGTATGTTTACAAGATGATGTTGACATTTCCACATCAATTGGTTTATAATTTTGCTACTGCCTATGACTTTTTTGTTTACTTTAAAATTGCAGAAGAAATCCTGGAACCTCTAAACTTTCGAACTCGACTCATTTCCCAATTTACCAAAAGAGGAGGGAGGACTATTACTGATTTGAATCCTGGAACCTCTAAACTTTCGAACTCGACTCATTTCCCAATTTACCAAAAGAGGAGGGAGGACTATTACTGATTTGCCATCCAATTAATAAATATTTAGTAGGGATGATCTGAGGCTGTCACATGTCCTGGTAGTTTAGTTATTTTAACTGCTAGATTCCAGTCATTAAGGTACTACTGTAGCTCTGCAAAAATCGAGGAAAAAATACAGGATGACTATCCTAAAGAGCAGTTATTCAAGAGCTTCAGCTTTCATTTCTGTCAGCCCTGAAACTGGTTTTAGGAATGCTTGAGTGTTTCTTTAGCCTCCTCTCCCTTTGTACTGCTTGGATTTTGTTCTTTGAGGTGAGTGAACTCCTCAGAGCTGGTGAGTGTGTGCAACATCACATTGAATTTGGAAAACTCTCCAAGAGGCCAATTGCCCTGTGTGATCTTGCTGACAAAGGATCACCAGCGCTTGAGAGAATGGAAGCTCATGTCAAAATCAAAAATGGAGTGCATTTTTAAGACCAAGTTCTATTGTATAGCAGGTGTTTGTCTGTGTAATGTGAAATACAATCTCTAATATGACTACAGGTTGCCAGGTTGGGTGGCAGGAATTACTGAGTCAAATTGTGAGGATTACGTTACACAGCCTGTCATATCAGGTAAGACCAGAAGGGATTTTGATTTTATGTTTAAAGTTAAGGGTATTGTATAGGATTCCGGCTAAAATCGGACTGGTTTCTGTGAGCTCCCAGAAAAGAATTACCATTCTGTGTGTGATACAAAACTGTAACACTATAGCATTGAACTGAGTAGTGGTAGTACAGCAATGACCTCGTACAATGAGCATCCTACTGAGGCTTTAGCCTTTATTATTCTATTATGTTAGGTCTCCTTCTTGCATTTAGGAATGAACTGGTTCCACATGATGTGCTGAGCTGTTGCCAGTGCTCTTTTTTATTAAGTAATGATCTTAGAAAGTAAAACTTAAGTCTTTAATGTGTCTTCCCTTACCTGTTTAATACCAGTGAGAATAATCTTGTATTTCACCAAAACTACAAGTGTTTAGTTTCCAGCATCCTAGGTAATTGGTGGCTTTTCTGAAAAGACTTGAGCAATTACTTGGTATAGAAAAGCGGTTCTACAGAAGTTCTCTGTAAAATCAAAGGTGAAGGTGTTAAACCCAGACAATAAAACTTAGATCAAAGTAGCCAGCAGAAGGGGCCATAAGAGGAGCAGATTGTCCTTTAAGCTTCACCATGTTGTGTAAGGTGTTACCTCTCTCTTTCTCTAATCAGATTTCACGAAGAAAGCAAAGCTATTCTTCCCTGACGTAATTCAATCGGAGCCCTCAGCTAGATCAGCAGGAAAAGCACCTGCCTTTCTTGCTTTAGATTTGGTTGATAGACCCCAGTTTTTGATAGGAGTTGGTTAATCCATAACCCAGGCATGTGGCCACAGCAACACCTGCCGTGCAGGTGAGCTTTTAGTCTTGTTAATATACTGATAGAGTATCAATTTTTGTATTAACCTCACACACATACACACCCAATAGTGATCGTAAGTAGGAGAATTTAATAAAATGAGATCATAAATGTCTAATGTACTTTTTGTTGGCCAATAAAGTTGCCCACATGTTGTAGTTGAGGTCTGAGGTTAACTTGCTTGCTGGAGCCTCTCTTGGGTAGATTACGTGGACTAATAAAGCACATGAAAAAATGTTTTTTGTGCTCTGCTTTTCTTTCTGTTTTGTCCACTAGCCTTTCCTCCTTAACTCTGTTTTGGGTTGGTGCCCACTGGAATATCTACTGCCATCAAACTCAGCACTTTAAAATTAAGCACACATTTAAAACATCTGCTTGATTGAGACCCTCCACAGTGACTATTAAGCTTTTTGCCTCTGACATTTTCCAAAGTCTTTGATTCTCTTCTCATCTCCTCAGTGACCCTGATATAATCCTATGGATATCTGTAAAGCAGTCTCTGGTGCTTCCTAATTGTGCAGGTATTGGGAAGTGAAGTGTGGGCTGAAGGTTTGGGTTCAGGCTTGAATTTTCTACAGGTAGCCACTGTGAAATTTAGATCTTATATTCAGTTCTGCCCCAAAGTTTCATGCGTGTGATCGTGTGATTTCCAGTTTGCAGAGAGAGGCGCTACCTGGCTTTTCACCGGACACTCATGAGCAGGAGTTTGGGGAAGACCACATCTAATTCAATAAGAGAGGAAGGGTTGAATTAAATCCCATATAGATAAGATGGTGATTCAGATACATTGATGGGTCACAACCCTTTTTATGTAAGAATCCTTCTGTGAGGGATGTAATTTCACTGTATAAGAAGGAATTTAGCAAGATTTGTGCCAACTACATTAC